GATCTATATACTGTAGTTCTTTTATTATGAAAAAAAATTTATCTAGTTGTATAATTAATTAATTACTACAAATAAATGTTTTATTATTTTATATGTCATATTGTATGTTTTTTATTGTGTATAAAGTTGAAAAAATTTTTTAATTTATCATGATAAATTTAATTGGACAGAAAATCATTAAATTTTCAGTAAAATGTCAATTCAGTGAACTGGACATTTAGTAAAGTAGACCTTCGATGAACAGGTCATTCAGTAATACCTTTGGACAAACGTCTATTCAGCCAATTGGATTCAGCCAAATGGGTTTCGGTCAAAAGTCCAGATACAGTTTTCTTAGTAAATACTACCTCTAAAGTTTGAAGATAGCTTTATTATTAATTTGAATCAAATTAAATATTTAAATACTTGATTTGAATTTGATTTAATCAAATCAAAGATTAGTTTGAATTTGATCAAATAAATCATTCTTTGATTTGAATTTGATCGAATCGAATTAAATATAAATTTGTATTTGTATTTAATTTGATTTTTAAATTGAATATTCAAATATCAAATTGTATTGCTGAACTTTACTTAAGAAAGTGCATTTAGAGAGGTCTCATTGTATTATTAATGATAAAAATGTTGACTATTATATTAGAAATAATAAAAATTTAAAAGAAAATAAATTTTTTTTTTACCTTATAAAAAATAGTTTACTTTTTATGAAAAACAAATAAACTTTTTATAAGAACAATTAAATGAGACTGAAGAAAGCTTAGAAATCAAAAGAGAAGAAGTAGTCAAATTTTAAGAAAAGTTTAAATAGTGAAGTAAAAGGTAAAAGTAAGAATTATTAGACAAAATTTATTAAATTAAGTAGTTAAAAGAAGAGAATAATAATTACAAAGAGAAAATCAAAAAGTTAAAAACTCAGAACCTTTAGTTTTTTAACAAGTTGCTCAAATTAAAGTTAAAAAAAACTAAAAAATAACCTTAATTAAAATAAAAGGTAATTAAAAATTAACAAAGTTAATTATTTGTTTTCCAATTTATTTTTTCTTAATTCTTTATTAAAATTCTTTAATACTCATTTTCTTTTGATAAATTTCATAGGTAATTCTTTTTTTTTAAATAAGTTAATGTCTAGGTTAAAAATAACACAATAATTAAGAAGTTGCAACTCAGTAAGTTGCAACTCCTTGTAAATTTATTTCAATATAAAAATTCATAAATAATTGCAACTCAAAGAGTTGCAATTTAGATTGCAAATAGTTAAAATTTTTAAAAATAATTATGAGAATCATCTTTAGTCTAGGTGCTATTTATTTTAAAAATATAAGAAGCAAATTTTTAAATTTTTCATCTTGTTTCTTTTTCAAAATACTTCTAATAGTACTATAATTCTTGGATTCTATGATAAACCTAATGTAAATGAGCTTTATATTAACTATTTTATATAGTGACAATTTTATATATCATTTAAGATAGCAAATAGGATATTATAAAACTGTTAATAATTATAATCACATTATGAAATGACTAAATTTTGATCCCTGAAATCTTTGATAATATCAATGTTCATTTTGTCTGATTTTGTTGCAATATATTCCATATTATAAAATAATTAATTATTTAAAATATTAAATATTTATTAGTAAATAATATAATGATTTTAGAATTAAAAGAATTATCTTTTGATTTTAATAAGATAATTAGCATTGTTATAATAAAATTAAAATTATTATTTTTAATTCTAATTCTTATTTTATGAATAAGATTAAAATTTATATTTAATTTCAATCATAATTTGAGATTAATTTAAACTTAATGTAAAACTTATATTATTTATAAAAACATATAATATTATTTTAAATAAAAGTTATTATTTAATCTTTTATTTTAATTTTTAATTATTTAATATTAAAATTTCTAACAATTTAGCTAATTAATTGCTAATTTTTTATTTTATTTTTACTTACAAACAATATTATTAAATTTATTGCAAATATTTTTTTAGAATGTTTAATCATTAATTTACTAGAAATATCATTTAAGAGATGATAATATTAATTTTTTATAATATGAGATTTTACGTAATTTATTTATTAATTCTTTTACTTAATAATAAACAACATTATATTCAATTTGAAGAATGTTATTAAATAACATAAATAACATTTGCAAATCTTTTTTTTAATATTATTAATTAAAAACAATACCTCATTGTATAATATTAACATTTTTGGCATTAAATTTTTCGTCCCTACAATTTTTTTTTCCCGGTAAAATCATTTTCTTTACATCAATAATTGAATAAGATTTGCGTCATATATCCAAATTAATTTTTATTAATTGTTTAAAAAATCAAAAAAAAAACCTCATTTGAAAATTAAAAGAACGTGTATTGTCTCCTATTTAATTAAGAAAAAAAAAATATAATACTCATTAGGTTTATAATGCCTCGAGCATACTCGACTTATTCTCCTTATATGCAGAGTAATACTGGTTGTTTATCACAATATCCCACTCCAGATACTCAACCAACAACAAGTAACTCTCAATCAGAACAAACAAATACCCGTCCAAATTCGCAAACCACCACTGTTCTATCTTTACCTACTCAGGATTCTTTTCTATCTGACGTTCCTCAAAGTGTTTACTCTGAATATTCTACGCTAGATATTCCGCCTGCTATATCAACAATACAAGAATCGGACGAACTAACTTCATATTCACCTGAAAGTTTTTTTTTCAGAGAATCACCTGCACTAGATTCCTCTCCAGGGGATGAAAATACAAATTCTAATAACATTCGTGTTGATCTAAATTCACCTCGAAGAAGTCCAAGTAATCAAAATCCCGATCCACAGACTGACTCACTTTCTTTGAAATCTCAAGACAGTTTCAATAATCGTGAGCTAATAAATGAAAGTTCAATAACTTTAGCTTTAGAAGGTTTAAGTGAACCTATTTTAAGCGAAATTACTGATTCGAATTTATTGCAACAATCTCAATCGGAACATATGAGACGAGAAACTACTACTGAAGTTGAAGAAAATAATGGGCAAAATTCAACGAATTTTGGTAATTTTATATCGGAACAAGAATTTTCGACATCAATGACAGATGCAGAAAATGATGATATTTGCGGTGAACTTAGAAAAGTAATAACGAAATCAACCATGATACTTGAAAGTGTAAAGAGTCAAGAAGTTGATGAAATGGAAAATGTTGAATATTTTCATCAAGAAATTACGGAGGGTGATACACAATCTCATGAAGTTTCTCAGCCGGATTTATTAGAACTTGAGTGCGATCATGAGTATTCTGTATTTATAGATAATGAGGTATTTTGATAATTTTAATAGAATATGACGATTTTTTAAGTAAGACTAATTTTAATATATATTTGTGCTTTTTATTTTATTTATTTGTTTTTATTTGTTTTTATTTACTCTAACTATGTAGATTAGTGATTCATTACTTAGGCAAAGTGAACATTACAACAATATGGCATCTAAGCTTTCTAACATAGGATTTGTTAAGGTAGAAACTGGGAGTGATGAAGAAATCGAGAATTGTACCACTTCTACTACTTCAGCTACTCCTAGAATAAGGCGTAGTATGCGTAAAAGGTTTTGGAAAATTTTTTTTATGTATTTTTTTTTATTATTTGTTAAGAACATAATAATATTAACTGGCTATTTAATTTATAGATCCAAAGCCAATTATAGTTTTCCTCGTTATTCTTACAGAGGAAAAAAATCTAAAACACGTAAACGAAGTCGTACACCTCGTAAAGTGTCATCATTATCTGCTAATGAGAATGAAGCCAATGAAAGCTTGGAAGTTGTTAATGATAATAATGAAAAAAACGAAGAGACCAATCAACCTGTACATGAGCTTTCTCCTGTTCAAATTAGTGATGAACAGGAAACGAATGAAGGTGTTCATAGCGGTCAGAGTGCAGACGATAGCGAGGATAGCGGGAATGTTAATAAAAATATTACTGATCATCATACACAAAATATTTTAGACCCTAAATATGTACTTCGTAGTAGAAAAATTTTTAGAGCTCCTTCCAAAAAAACTGCGAGAGCTAAACGGTCAGTAAAAAAATCTACTTCAAAGGTAATCCCAAAGACACCTATAAAGACAACGCTAAAACGTAAAACATCTCGTCGCAAGTTGATCGCTCATAAGACGAAGAAAGATCCTGAATGGCATCCACCGGATGAAGCTGATAATGGGTCAGGGTTAAAAGATGATAGTGAAGCGGTAGTGGATGTCCCGGCTAAATCTATTTCAAAAGATCGTCATTCCACTTCAAAAACTCGTTCAGCTTTAAAGGAACCTAATACTTCAAAGAAGGCTAAAACTAAGAATATTAAAATCGTTGATACAACACGAGAAATTAGAACTGCAGAAAATTCAAGTAAAAAGGTGACACCAAGAACCTCTAAATCTACAAACAAAAGATCTACTACAAAGAGTACTAGAGGTCGGGGAAGAGGTCGGGGAAGAGGTAAAGGTAAAGGTGGTTCTACTCGCGGTTCTAGGTCGAAGAATCATGACACTGAAATAAAGTATCCTTCCGGAGAAGAACCATCTATCATTAATCCAGCGGAGGTTCCAGTAGTTGGAATTAGCACTGTTGTGAATAGTAATTCAGAGAATCAGGTTGTACGGGAACAATCCGATGTTGAAATGAATAATGTTAATCAAGATGAACCAGAGCAGGTTGAAGAACCAGGTTCAACACCTAAACTTATAAAGGGAACCCGAAAATATACTAGGAGGTTAGTTGGTGGGTCTAAATCTACTAAATCTGCTAGTGATGGCAAAAAAGGTCGTGGAAAAACAGCTGATACACGAGCCGATGATAATGCAGCAAGAGATAATGATGTAAATAGTGAACCATCAGACGAAGAGGAGACAATCCCTAAAACGAAACCAAAAAAGGTCACAAGAAGTTCTAATCGTCAAGGCCAAACTCGTATCGGTGACAATACGGCCACGGAACAACCTCCAGTCACAGCTTCCGACCCAGATATTGTCGAAATATCTTCAATAAATCCAACGGCTCTTGCAAATGTTGTTAATACCTTAGCAGGACAAAATTATGATATCTTACGTTCTTCTGAGAATATCGTAGATATTGCCCCAAATAAAGGACCCTGTACGCCTGTATTCGTAAAACCACATGTCCCTACAACTCGTTCTTCATCACCTTCTAATACACCTCCACCAGAGATACAAGCAATATTATCAAAGCCTCCTACTGCTATTCCTAGTTCATTGGAATGGTCAATGGATCATTGGCATCATCTGAAAGTATTTTATGAAGAGACCAAGAGTGAATATATTCGTTCAGGTACAGATGTTAATAAAAATAAGGATGTATACAGTGAAGTTATTGAAAAATTTTTTGAGTCCGACATTAAAAATAGAACTTTTGGAGAGTGAGTAAATCAGTAATTAATATTAATAATGCATTTATACATGTAATCAATTCTAAAATATTATGATGATATTGTATAGGGAAGATTTACGTTTGCGCATAATTTCATTAGAGACTGCAGACCTTGAAAGAAATAACGAACCTTCGAGCGATCAACAAAGTAGTGATATTGAAAACAGTGTTATTCTTTATAATAAAGCATATTCCAATCTCCGGGCCGGAAACAAACGTAAACGACGTGAATCAAATGTAACCGTCGCTGTCCCAGGGGTAAGTTGCTTACTTAAATATATATTTACAAATAAAATAAATCATTGTAAATTAAATTTTTTTCTTAAAAAAAAAGAAAGAAAAAATGGAAGATGATGAGAATGAAGGCAAGGTCCCCAAACGTTCCCGTGTGGAGGAAATTACTCCTTCGGGGTCTGGTACGACAACACCAGCTTCTGAGTTGACTGCATCTCAAACGCCCGGTAACAATAATATGTTGTCGAAATTATTTGGAAGCTGGTTTAATAGTGGTCAGAGACGATCAAACACGGCTTCTTTGAATGAAGAAGCACCGGAAGAATCGGCTAATCATGTTGATGAAAACGAAGATAGAATGGAAGATGAACAATCAACCCACACTCCTCGTAGAAGCTGGCTGTGGTAAATAAAAAAAAAAATTAAAATAATAATTTAGTAGTATAACGTTACATTGTAAGTATTATAGTATTTTATTTTAAACTTCTTAAATTTCATTTCATTTTTTTTTTATCTATTATTTCAAAATATGTAAAAAAAAAGTTTCTTAAAAAAAGATTTGAGATATTAATATATATTTACATTATTTTACGGACTATTAATAATTTTTTTTGGACTTAGTATATACACACACATAAATATATAATTCTTGAAATTTGCGTTATATTAACCGATATATTAGACTAACCGATATATTAGATTACAATTATACTTTCATATAGCAAGAAATTTTTATATTAATTGTAAAAATAATAATAATGAGATTAAAAAAGTAAAATTTAACTTTATTTAAATATGTAAATTTGTTTTTTTTACCAATTTCATGAATTCATTTTCATCAACTTCACCATCACCATTAAGGTCAGCTTCTTCAATCATTTCTCTTAAATGATCATCGCTTATTTCTTCCCCCAACTCCTTAGCAACACGTTTTAGATTTCTAAAAGAAATTTTTCCAGTATGATCATCATCAAACGATTGAAATACTTTTACAATTTCATCATTTAAATTTCTTTCAGACTAAATAAATTTAATCTCATTAAGTTTAATTTTAATAATAATAAATGATTATATCAATTGAGATATAAATACCATTTTAACGGCCATCATTTTATTAAAACTATCAAAGTCAATTTTATTATTATTATCACCACATTGATTTTTAATGTTCAATAACATACTTTTTATTTCCGCTTTTTTAGGAGGGTCAAAACCAAGAGCCCTTATTGCTACTTCAAGTTCTTTTATGTCTATACTACCTTTACCTTCCGTATCAAATAAATCAAAAGCTTCACGTATTTCTTGCTGTTGTTCCATTGTTAAGCCTGAATTTATTTTTTGTTTCTTTTTACGTGAAGTGATGGGTTTTGAGCTAGTACTATAAGAGGTAGAGGCTTGTTGCATTGTGGATTTCTTGATTGACGAAGAACTAATAAAAAAAATTGGTTATAATTGTAAAATTGTACTTGATTATTTAGGAAACGCGTAAAGAAAAAAAAAAGGTTTGTAAAAACTTTTTTTTAAAGTCCACCAAAATTTATGAAAGCACGTGAACTTGATTTTCGTGTACTACATAATTCTAATCAAAAGTATCATCAGATAAATAAAAAAAAAATTTTTTTTTTTCTCCATTTCTCCTCTTAAATAGTAAATAATGACTAACGAAGAAAAGAAAACACCAAGTGAAGACATTTTAAATAAAAAGGTGAAATGGTTAAAATAAATAATTCTTTGGTAATTTAATAAAAAGAAGAAAAAAAAAAAAAAAATTAACTTAATTCATTTTACTTTTATTAAGTGGGATCTTTGCTTGTCTAACTTATTGGTAAAATCCGGAATTGGACTGAGCGTAGGAATTGTAGCATCCGCTTTAATATTTAAAAGTACGCGTCTTTTTTAATTTTTTTTTTTGTTTACCTTCTTTTTATTTAACTAAATTCACTTGAAATTTGAAATTCTTTATTTAGAAAAATCTTGGCCAATTGCAATGTCAACAGGCTTTGGTATTGGTGTAGCTTATGCAGAATGTCAAAGAACTTTCAATCCAACTGCTATACCGGGTGTAAAAATAATTAAGCCACCACCATCATAACTTTATACCTTTTGATTTTTTTTAAAAAGAAATAAGTTCAATACACCTTTTTTTTTTTTGTTTTTGTTTTTTTTTTATTTTTTTTTTAATTATAAAAAATAAAAGATTATCAACACTACATAAAAAAAAAATCTATTAAAAAAAATACTTTTCTTTATTGCTATAATGATAATCCGATTAATATATTTACAAAATAATTATATTTTAACAATAAATATAAACCTAATATAATTTATCAAAACATTATAAGAAAAAAAAAAATTTGTAACCATTAATCATTTACTAACTTTACATCTTTAAAAGTATCTTGGTGTAGAAGAGGGTCGACTGTAGTTTTAAGAGGTTCTTCAGAATTATTATTATTATAATTAGTTAATGGAGTAGTATCGGGTTGATGAGGAGAATTAGCCCTACTTGATTCATTTGAAGATGGCACGATAAATACAGGTGTTGATATGTCTGGAGATGCCGATCGTGCATTTTGCCTTTAAAAGGGAACGAATAAATAATTTGATTAAAATCAGGATATCTTTTCTGTAAAACAATCAAAACTTTCCCAAAGGTAAAAAGAGTAGCTTACGGTGTACTTGTTGAAGTATTTTCACCACCTTCACCAACAATATGACCACTATCACGACTGTTTTCGTGATTATCATGACCGTCTTCGCCATCAACATTATTACTATGAAAAGGAGATCCCAACGTATCTTCTAACTCATCAACATCTTGACTCCATAATGGTAACCACCATCCACCCCTACTACCCTCTTCCGCTTTAACAAATCCACGTAAATTTGACAAATGTGAAAGTGCCGTTTTACTTTCTAAATTTGAAAAAAATCCCGAAGATGGTAATATCTGCGATAAATATCCAAAGGAATCTATTAAATAAAAAATCGTCAAGTTAAATACTAATGCGATTTAAGTAAAAGATATATATAATGCAATACATGTCGCCTTACAAAAATATCCTACAAATAAGCCACATAAGTGACTTGCAAACCATGAATGATTAAATAAAATTTCCATCAACAATAATAATACAATAGGATAAAAATGTGCCGGAACTCTAAATAATCCAAATATACTTTTATATCGAAAGAAAAAAAAAATATTTTCAGTTAATAATAAATACAAAGATCAATAATAATAATAATTTAAATATTAAAGAATAAAAAGTAAAACTTACTCTCTTTCACGTCCAGCTAATTCTCTGCTTTCCCAAACCACAACACCAAATATCCAGGCACTTAACCCTCCAACTCCAATATTTTTATAACCGAAAATCAGAGAACCTAATAAATATAAAGAACCTGAAAGTATTGTAAATATGGTCATTAATACATAAAAATATTCTAATGTACCAATAGTATGTTCTATTGCTGTGCTTAAAGGCAAAAATGCAAGTAAATTAAAAAGTAAATTGCCAAGTGAATAATGTGGATAAGGATATGTAATCAAACGCCACACTAAATGAATTCAATTTCAATGAAATCAATTAGTAATGTTAAGTAATTCGGAGAGAGGTCGAAATATACGCGTTAAAAAAATACCTTGCCCGCTGTCAAAGAATGATTCAGGTAAAAGTGATAGCGCTTCATAAATAGCAATTTTCGATTCAAATATTTGTATTGCATCCACCACATATAATAGAATTGATATACATGCGATGGTTGTAGTCAGCAAGGGTAACGAAATAATATATGATATAAAACTAGAAGTAACAGTTGAAAAGGAAGGTATATTTCTTCGAACTTCCGTCATACTTAAATAAACAGAAACCAAGTAAAGAACTAGTAAAGATTTTGAAGCGGAAACACGAACTTAATAAATGAATTGAATATAGAAATAAACGATCTACTCGCGAAAACTATAACTCGACAGTTGAATAAGGAAAATGAACTTATCAATCGACCAATACCAGAATGACTAGTTATAAAACATACAGTTATATCACAAAATACGTAATACCCGGAAAAATGGCGATCTCAGATTGGACCGGGAACTTCACTAAAAAACCAATCATGAGTCGACTCATATACTAGGAACCAACACATGCGTTGTTTACTTTGTTTTTAGTGAGGGTCAAAAGTTGAGTCGATATGTGATTGGAACAGTGGATTTGTCTTATATTTATTAAACATAATATGTATAGTGAACTAATCGCACTATTGTTTATTTATAAAGGTTTAAACCTCGCTTGGAGGAGAAAGGTATTATTAATGAAGCAATTTCCCGATTTATAATATAATTCGCTATATCGTGAACGGATGTTTTTTTCTTTTATTTTCGAGAAAGGAATCTATTAATAACGGCATAAAAGTTAAATATGCATATAAAAACAATAACGAAATAAATAGAATATCATTTATAATTACCATTCTTTACTGGATAAGCGAAAGATCGAACTTTAACCCTTTAAAAATTGAGTTGTATCGAACATGACGGAGGATCAAAATAGAAATACTCCCATTTATTGGTTCTGTTTTGCATTTATAGAACTTCATTAAATTTAATTAACAAACTTAAATATCGAGTTCCAAAATCGATACTAAGACCGGTCTAAAAATCGGTCTAAAAATCGATCTTAAAGATTGCCTTCGGTCCAATTCAAATCGCTAAAGACCGCACTTCAATGAAACTTCTTGTGATAAAATCTTAATAAGAATTAAACATATTAGATCTTTTGACATATAGATACCCTTATTATATAATCTATTCTATAATAGATACTGTGATATAACTTTAATTAAATAATAAACCAAATAAGTTAACATGGATGTGCGATATACTATGTTTATGTATAGTCTACTAATTATTGAAGATTTTTGTGTATCATTGCTTATTTGCGATGTCTAAATAGTTTTCAATCTTCCATATAATTAACAGAACCTATTTTTCATGATAATGTTGCGAAAATAATCATAAATTTGTTTGTTTATACCTATAAAGATTTTGTTAACGATTAAATATAAATTCTATATATAAAATATAGATAATAAAACTGTTACCATATTCTTATTGCACACTTGTAATGTGTGACTACCGAAGATCACTAACTAATGGAGGGGTTTTTTTTTTACAAATGAGGATAGTTTGTTAAACATAATCGGTTATGTTTAATAATAAAATAAATATCCTATAATAAATTTTTTAAACGTACTCTAAAAAAAAAAATTCTAATATTGCTACCAAAGAAAAAATTTGTCGCGTACAAGAAACTCCTAAATACCAGATAAATTTTTGAAGTATAATTATTGAAACAAAACAAGAAAGTGTAAGTATTATGCGAAAATACAATTTTCCTACCAAAATGAACTCTTAGCCGAGAATCCAAAAATGCAAAATAATGCGCAGTGTACAGAGAATAATTTTCGGTGTTTTATATTAAAATAGAACAAAATTTTATTATCCTAATGAAGTTCTTAAGAAGGTTGATAATGAAACATTTACCTTGAGCACATGATTAAATGAAATCATGTTACATACTTGTAATAAAGAATACACAAGTTACAAGTAATGCAGATACATGCAACTCAAACCCGCAGTAACAAATTTTCTTCTACCACGAGATTTATAAATCCAAATATTTATTTCAGAAATTCCATTATTACACAGATGTGTTCCTTATTTAAGAGTCTTTTTTATCATTGATCCTTTCCTGCACAATATTAAGTATATATTAATTTTGTGGTTTCATCCAATGCATGTAATTATATTTATCTCATATTCATAATCCACTCATTCAAACAAAGATGTTGATCATTATTATTAAATAATCAAGTTGTAATTTATAAATTATAAATTGCCATATTTACCATGAGAAACTCTCCGAATGCGGCTGCAAATTCTGCTACACCAATATAAATACCAAAAACAAATTAGCGTTTGCCAATCACGCCAATCATATGTGAATAATATACAACAAATAGGCATGTTTTTGACAGACAAATCCTCGGATTCATTAATTTTTTTTACTTGTTCATTTTTCCTTTCTCCTCATTTAACAAGCTTCGTTGTTAAACGAGCTTCTTTCTTTTATTCCATTAATTTCACACTTTCCCTTATAACACCATAAACCCTTTTCCCTTTCCACCAAATCCTACCAATATTTTCTTATTTCCTTTTTTTTTCTTTTTCTTTTAGAGTAAAATATACTGTCTTTTTTTTATTAGAGGACAACCATAGATTCTATCATATACCGGTGGTATACGAAAGGTAAGTTTTTTTTTTCAATTGTTTGAAATTTGTGTTTCTTTGAAAAAAGGATTATTATTAATGATTTTTTTTCATTTTGACTGTGAAAAAAAAAAAATGAAAATTAATTCGAATATAAACTTACATTTCAAATTTCAACAAACTTTATAGAAAGGTTTTATCCAAAAATATATTCAACATTTAAGATGCGAAATTTATCACTCCTCGCAATTATACTTGTTTCTACATCCCTTCTTTCAGGCTCACAACACCATGTCGAGGCCATTATGATAGATAGTGCGTCACAAAGTATGCAATCCCAAGAATTTGGCAATCGATTGATACGTCGATATGGTGGTAGCTTAGGAGGGGGTGATAGAATGTTCAATAAAAGATATAACGTAATATCACCCGGCCTTCAGGAAAGAGCCGAGGTAAACGAAGCTTTAGTTCCAAAACCCAAAGCAAAAGAAGTTAATAAGCAACCTCCCAAGAATCCTATTAAGGATGTTAAAGAACCAGCGAAAAATCCCAAAGGCAAGGAAATTGTTGATAAGAAAGTAACACCAAAACAAAATCCTAAAATGCCAAAATTAAAGGACACAAATGACAAACCAGAACAAAAGAAGAAATTAGAAGACGTAAAAGTAAAAGGAACAGAAGGCAAAGTTCAAGAACAAAAAGGTAATTTACAAAATCAATTGGACTCTTTGATTCTTATATAAAGATTTAACTAGATTCCTCTTTTTAAAGATAAATCTGCTGCAGCAGAAGACCAAGGAGGCGCCGCTCCAGTTGGATCAGCTCCGCAAGTTATAACTGATGGTTTATCATATCAAGCTATAGCTGGACTTACTACTGTCGGTGGCGTCATGGTTTTGGTTACCGGCCTATTTGCCTTTGTCCGTAGAAAGAAAAATAAAGAAATGACAAACAGCATCGTGTCAACTTCAGCAACTGCTTGGGAACAACAAAACTCTGCATATGAAACAATGGATGAGGAAACCAAACCATTAGGTTCATATTCAGTTATTGCAACGTATGCACCAGCTTTGGCCGATGAGTTGGATATACAACCAGGGGACAAAGTTACCATCTTGGTTGAATATGATGATGGATGGGTGCAAGGTATTAATGAAACGCGTGGTGGAACCAAAGGTGTTTTCCCTCGTCACTGTGTAGACATGAACACCGCCCTAAATGGCAAACGATCCAGTTCCATAGGAGGATATACAGTGGTAGACCTTAACTAGGTTTCGGGCCAATTAAAAATACTTCCCCCATTCTTTAATTGTTGGCAAAATAGATTTATAAATATTATTTGCCAACACATTATTAATCTAATTTATTTAGTATCATTATATTAACGACAAATCCAAAATGCTCCTAATTTCCTCTCATTTCTCAATATATATATATCTCTCTTTTGTAATTTTTTTTTCTTTTTTTTTTTTTGAAAAAATTTTTGGTTGGTTGTTTGTTGGTTGTTTATGTATAGTTTTGGGTGAATGGGTTTTCTTCATTTTGTGTTTGCTTTACTTACACAATTTGTTTCTAATAAATTTTATCTAATTCATTAACAGAAAAAAAATGTTAGATAGTTTTTGTAGTAAAAATATATATATATATATATATATTTTCCGAAGTAAATAGACTTATAAATATGGACTTCGGTTGAATAATTATAACCAGCTCAAGACTTGAAATTTATTTATTTATTTATTTATTAATTTAGTTACTTTTACTTTTTATTTGTTTTTCACTTTATTTTATTTTATTTTTATAATTTTATGTATGGTATTTAATAAAAATTGCAATTTTTTATCCATTTTTTAAAAAATTGCGATTTTTATGTACCGTGCCTTTGGAATTGTGAAATCTCTTTGATAATGGTTATTAGGAGTATCTTTGGAAGTCATGATAATTAAGATCTCTAATAATGGTTATAATAATCCTAAAGATACTTGAAACTTTATTTTGGTGGTTGTATGCCTGAAAAAAAAAAAGAGAATTGGATTTATTATGTTTTGTATATAAAGTAAATTAAATATAATTCGAAAATGATATGATGTATGAACAAATTGTTTTAAGCAAATTTGAAAAAGTATGAAATAAAACCAATATTTTCGGAATATATAGACTGCCCTTTTCATTATTATATTTCTTACAAAAATATACTTTTTCTACGGTCAAAATTTAAATTTTACAATTTCTAAATCAACCACAATTTTTATTTTTGTCAGTTTCTTGGAGAAATCATTCTTAAAGTTTTGTACCGCAATTAGGACATTTTTATTTTGGTAAATTAATTATGGTAGAACATGGATGTTAAAATAATAAATTTATACTACCATTTTTTATATACATTGATTAAAGTGATTGTAGCAAATATTAGTCACCAAGTGACATCTCCTACACTCATCATGAAGAACAAATTTGGGTTCTCTCATGCAAACAACAAAAATAATGTGCTAATTCGAAAGATTGCGTATTGCATATATGTATATATAGCCTTGCTCCGGAAAAGATTTGATTTCGATTTTTTATTTAACCTAGAATTCGAATAAATGACTCATCATTATATGTGACGCGTGGGAAGTAATGCTTCATTTTGGTACGCTTCGTTTTCACTTGTTCATGATCGCCCTAAAACATTAAAACGATATGATTAACTACTGTATATACTGTATATACTTTATCTTGCTTCGTTGTCTCTTTTTAGCATACAGTTGAACCTCACTATAACGAATTTCTATATTCCGAATTTTTTATTATAGCGAATTACATGAGTGGTCCCGAAATTTATTAAATAAAATTATCGAATTTTTATAATAAAACTTACTATTATGTATAACGAATTAAAGATCCTGACCAAGTATAATAAATGAGACTTTTGTTAACGAAGTTTTTTTATATAACGAATTTTTATATTAAATTTAAGGAATATAGCGAATTTTTTTTCTTGTATTACTATTAAAGGAAATGTTACATTGTAAAATTTTAATTGATTTATTTGATCAAATCCAAATTAATGTTTGATTCAATTTGGTCAAATTCAAATCAAGTATTTAAATATTTAATTTGATTCAAATCAATAGTAAAGCTATCTTCAAAGCTTCAAGAGTGGTTCTTACTAAGAAAACTATAGTAAAATTGCTTCTGCAACTTCAGAAATGCTTTTTTACTAAGAAAACCATAGTAAAAAGCGTTTCTGCAGCTTTAAAAATGCCTTTTTATTAAAAAAAATATGGTAAAAATACCTTCGTAACTTTAAAAATATTATTTTACTCAGTATTCAATAATAACCTGATCATTTGACTATTTAAATAATCTGTCTATTCCTTTGTTATAATATAAATTATTTAGCATTTATTATTTCACAAATAATCTAAATGACAAATGATAAATGATCAAGATCATTTAAGATCATTTAAATCATTTGTCAATTAGTCATTTGCTTTTACAAAAAATTTAACAATACTCTTAAAGAATCGCAGATTCTTAGCAAAGCTCTAGAAATTCTTGATTCTATAAGATTTTTACAATTTTATCTCCTAACAATAAAGAACTATTTCAAAAGATGATAGAAAAATTGTTCTAAAAGAATGATAAAAAAATCGTTCCAATAAAATAATACTACATTATTCTAAAGGAACAATACAAAAAATTATTTCAATAAGACAAAAAGATTATTTTAAAGAAACAATACAAAAAATCATTCCAATAAAATGGGAGCTGATTTATTAAAAGTAAGTTACGAGACATAGTAAATCATATGATCTGTACTTTAATTTTAATAGAATACTACCCAAATGATAAATCATTGTTCTATCAGAACAATGAAAAAATTGTTTCTTAAAATAATAAAGGTTAAAGATGAAGGACGAAACTCAAAAAAGGCAATTAATAAACAGCTGAAACTATATTAAAACATAGTGAGAGGTACGACAAAACCCTGAAACCTGAAATTAGCTGAAACTATATTAAAAATATAGTAAGGGATATGACAAAATTATTTTGAGGAAGTTTCAGCTGGATCTTTAATAAAGGTAATACAAAAATCGTTCCAATAAGACAATAAAGATTATTCTAAAAAATAATACAAAAAATCATTCCATAAAAATGATAATACATTATTCTAAAGGAAGATAAAAAAATTAATGTTAAAAGGTTATTCTAAAGGAATGATAAAAAAAATCATTCTATGAGAATGATAAAAGATGGTTTTAAAGGAACGATACAAAAAATTGTTATAATAAAAATGATAAAAGATTGTTTCTTAAGAATGATAAAAGGTTATTCTATCAGAATGGTGCTTTTAATCATTTCTTTAGAATGATTCTTTTATTATTCTATTAGAATGATACTTTTAATAATTCCTTTAGAACAATTTTTCTATCTTTTTATCAAAAACAATGCTTTTAATCGTTCTTTTAGAACAATTCTTCTATTGTTCTATCAAAATAATACTTTTAATTGTCCTTTTGAACAAAACTAAAAAATTATTTAATTTTTAACTTAAGTTTAGCACTTAACTTAACTTGACTGGACTTGTCTGACTCATAATTTGAGCTGACTCATTTGAAACTCAAATATAATTTAATATACTATTATATACTATATAAAATATTTGTTCAATATGAAATAATTTTTTTTAATATATATAATTAAATATTTTAATAAATTTAACTTATTTACACTATTATAAACAAAATAAATAATAAAAATTTATAAAATATGCTATATTTAAAAATTATTAAAATGACTGGTTATTTGATAATTGAAATAACAAGTCATTTGTTATTTGTCATTTGAGTCATTTGCCAGTTATAATCATTTGGCAAACACTGATTTTACTAGAAAAACATAATAAAAAATGCCTTCATAGCTTCAAAGACATTATTTTACTAAAAAAACATAGTAAAAAATGTGTCTACAGCTTTAAAAATATTTTTTTACTAATAAAATAAATAGTTGTGAAACTAAGATGGTGATTATTACTAAGTTTGCTTAGTAAAACTAAAGCTGCAATAGTAGTTATTACTAAGTTTTCTTAGTAACTGAAGCTACAATAGTAGTTATTCTGAGACTGTTGAGTTATTTTATTAAGTTTAATAGTAAAAATTCACCAGTTACTAAACTTACTTTGTAAAAGCTATCTTTGAAATTTTTTAGTAAAATTACTAATAATTTATTAATTAAAACTTTAGAATAACTTTATTTTATTATATCATTATAAAAATTAAAAATTTATTTATATTCAATTTAATTTAATTCGATTCGATTTGATCAAATATTTGATTTGATTAGATTAGATTAGATAAATATTTGATTCAATTAGATTCGATTTGATCAAATTCAAATTGATTCAAATTGATTCGATCAAATATTTGAGTTCAATTTAATTTAATTTAATTCAATTAAAAAAAACAAATCAAATTCAAATTGCTTAAATATTTGATTTGATTTGATTTTGAAAAACCCTAGATATCACAATTGGGTTTTATTAATCATAACCCATAATATGCAACTCTACATTTTTATATAGGTTGCAAATGAAACTATTTTTAAAAATAGATTGAGAAGCCATCTTCATTATCAATTAATAAATATCAGAAGTCTGCAAATATTTATTTATATAGTATTATGATAAAAATAAGCAACTATACTTTTAATTGTGTTGTTGTTTGTTGAAAAGTCCTAAATAAGTGAAATAATATTAAAATAAAAAAGTGTTGAAAATATTGATAAAGTAATTTAGAACTATATAATCACACTCTTAAATCTATCTCTTAAATAGTAGAAAAATTCTATGCAAATTTAGAAGGGATTTTTAAAAATGTTTATTAATACAAAATTTTATTAATAATTATGTAATTTTTTTTGATTTTTCAATAAAAAACAATATAAATTTTCATATAAAAATATAGTTATTAAATAAGCATTAGTTTTACAGATATTTAATTAAAGATGAATAATAAATATTATAAAAATATGTAATATTTTTATAGTTAAATTTATTTATTTATATATAGAGTAATTCTATAGATTTGAAATATTATAAAAAATTTAACTTATTTTATAAATTAGTAAGTTTTAATAATAGTTTAGAAAATTTTATTTTATATTATATTTAAATTTTAATTAATAAATTTAATAAATTTTTTAAAAAAATGTAATATACCATAATGATGTTTAACACTAATAATATATGTTCTAATATGCTAATTTTCTTTAAACTAGTGGTGTTGCA